AGGAAACGCCTAAGTGAATTCGAGCTCGCGTTTCTATGTATGTACCTATCTATCCGTGCGGTCTCGTCGTGTTCCAGAGTCTCGTATTTGAAATACTTTTTTAATGGCGATTGAAAATATTTGCTAAGTTTTTTCTCGAGTTCCATCGAGAAAGACGAGGGGACAGGTGTCTTTCAAGCCGTGTAGAACAAAGAATGCGTATGTTCCTTGAGAAAAAGTCGTTGAATAAAAGTGCCATCGGTGTTTACCCTATGCATTATTAATACGTCTACTTTCACGAGTCGACGCGCAGGCCTTTTTGGTATCGCATTCTATTCTCTAAGCAAGGAAAAGAAAAGAAAAGAAAATAAGCGACGTTCGATGGCTCGTTTCCTTTTCGTCGTTTCAATCAAAACGATGTGCACGACGTAACGCTCCGCGTTCACGGATGCAATCGACACGGGTTTCCGGTAGATCGGTCGAGTTGCGAGCCGGAAGTTGCACGGACTGCTCGATTGTGACTAGTCGTATAAGCGCAATTTTACGTTTCTCTTCGTCGACGATTGAATAACGAGCAAACAACGCCAACTTTACGAGGTCATACTTAATTGAACGTCCTCGCGAGGCAGGTTAGTTATCTCTCTCGTCTAAATTCATTAATACGAATTAATGCGAGAATTTAGAGAAAATTTTTTTCTCGAGAAACTTTCCAAAGGGTTTGAATCGCAAAAAAAAGCAACATCGTTGGTAACATGAGGCTAACGTAAATCGGTCCTAGCAAATTACGTTCGTAAATTACGATACGTTGTAGGAATAATTAAACCGTTAGACTCGCGTACGAACGAAGAAATTACGAGCGAACGTCAGGCGAACGTTAGACCGCACTCTACTCTATGTATCCTATATATTTGCCATAGGCGAACAACAGACCGAGTATGGCCTAGAGTCGCCATGTAATGTTTGCACACACCCTGCGTATTTTCCAGTGATTTAAGTAATCGCTCGTAAATGATTTAGCTTGCGGCATTGATCGTATACATTTTTTATTTATATTTCCAGGCTGCTCGTGTAGAGGGGGGGGGGGGAGAGAAAGAGATAAGGAGCAACAATTTTATTTCGTACGGCCAAATTAATGGAACTACGTCTCGTTATTAAAAACAAAAAAAATAAAGAACGGACTTTTTAAACAAATGAGAAAAGATGACCAGGTGTACGTGGCAAATCGATACTAATGAACGCGTAACGATGACGAATGTTCGACTCCATTTTCGTCGTCGAGAATACCTCTATCGTCCTGCTAATGATTAAACGATCGCGGCATGCAAAGCGTCGATACCGAAGAATAATCGATTTAACACAGGGTGCTTCTTAATCTCCCAATTATAGTCTAATATCGAGTAGTGACTGACCTTCGAGCGTCACCTTGACACCTCTCTCTCTCTCTCTCTCTCGAGCCAGTTTCGATAAGGTCGAACGCGTTCCTTCTCGATTTCATCGGCCACGTCGATTTCTTCGAGAATCTCCTCGTCATCTTTTAAATATTTATTCCATACTTTGCAAGCAAGCTTTTAACGACGAGAATTGAATGAATAAGAATCGCAATGATAAGTTCGTAAATGAAAAGGCAAGGTGAACTTTGTAAAGCGCGTTTTGTCCCTTCACCCTCATCATTCACCTCCGATAAAAGGATCTAAGGAAAGTGGCGTCGTGAACTTCGAAGGAGAAGAATCGTTCGGCATCACGAGATAACCGCGTAACGACGACTTCTCACGCTCACGCGCCTCTTTCGTGATCACTATTACTAGTTTTCGTGCTTCGAGATATACGCCAGCCGGTTTTCATACAAAGGAAGATGCAAAACGCACGGACACGCGCGCGTATAACACATACAAAATGTAGATACACGTGAGAAACGCTTCGACTACTTAAAAAAAAAAAAAAAAAAAAAAAGGGAAAAAAAAGAAAGAAAAAAGAAGATAAAAAGAAAACGGAAAAAAGAAACAAAGAAAATAAAATAGAAATTGAACGAATTTGATTGATTGATTATCTAATTATCCTGTAACGGCCGTATATCATTGGGATATCATCATTGAGCATATTCGAGCAAACAATAAACGAACAGACGAACGGACTTTCGTTTTGTTTGCTGAACACGCCATTCAGAGATTCTTTTCCCTCTCTCTCTCTCTCTCTCTCTCTCTCTCTCTCTCGAGTATTCTCGATCTCATCGATCGCGTTTCCTTCCTGGTTCGCCAGGAGAAAGCCGAGGAGGAGTTGTAAACTGTACGCGGTCAAACTGTCTTCTTCTCTCCGTGAGAAGATATCTTTTCGAATTAAAAGTAAAAGTTTCGAAATGATTTACGAGTGTCCTAGAAATAATAGGGAAGATGATTTTATGTAATGAAAGATCTCTTGGATACTACATTGATATAAATGTACATGACTAAATGGAGGCGCCTTTTTAAAAAGTCGTCGCAAAAGACCGTGAGAGAGTGAGAGAGGCCGGAAGAAGCAGATGTAGAGAAAGAGAAAGAAGAGTAGAAAAATCTTTAGCCAGATGGGCAGAACGACAAAGAACTGAAACGCGTTGCTACCATCCACAGGAGGAACACGTGCTCCCAGCCAAGAGTTTTATCTCCTGGAAAACCAGCTGAACCGAACCGGTTCCTCGTTCTTCGTTGAGACGAGACGCGTCGTCGTTCCACTTGAATCCATCCAAAGAAAGACGAGCGAGCGACAGATGTCCCTTAGTTCGTTGGTACCTGTTCTCCTCTCGGGCTCGTGTAAAAACGATGAATCCGAGACGATTTTCTCAACATCCTTCGTCGTCCCATGGACCAGAGAGAAAGAAAGAGTGAGAGGGAGATAGAGAAAGACAGAGAGAAATAGATTGTATCTCCACTATCCTCGTGACAATGTTGCAAAAGAGCGCGATCGAGTAAATCGATAAGATCGCTCGACAAAAAATTACAAACAAAGAAACAGAAATCGGAAAAGAGAGAAAAAGAATGATTGCCTGGCATGCGATAAAAATAAATGAAAAAGAAAGAGAGAGAGAGAGATGGATGTGTCGAAGCGCATAAAAATTCAATTTCTCCCCAAAGAAACGAGGACATCAATTCACATGTCCACTTATCGCTCTCGTAATCTCTTCGGAGGCAAAAAGAAAAAAGTAAAAAAATATCGATGTTGTCCGATCTCGAGTACTCGTTTGGCTGTTACAAATCGAGAGAATTACTTTCAAGGCTATTGCACGATCGTCGGAGCGCTCCTTCGAGTACATACGTTCTAAGCTGCATGACGTAGTGAAACGATGAGTCTTCCAATAGCTTCCGATGCGTAAGACGGAGATGACATTAAAAAGACGAAAGGGAGAGAGGGGGGGGAAGAGAGAGAGAGAGAGAGAGAGAGAGAGAGAGAGAGAGAGAGAGAGAGAGAGAGAGAGAGAAAAGAGAGAGCGGGCGAACAAAGCGATCTTGTTCTCTCGTACTTTATCCTAGAACCATCGATCTATCGATCCTTATTTGTTTGATCTATCATTAGAGTCTCGTAAATCCCAGTATGTTCCTTCTTTCCATTCTATCGTGTACGTTCGTTGCATACGATCGAAGCATATGAATTTCCATCTCACGCGGACGTAACGTGATAATACGCCCCTTGACGTGTACCTACGAGATACGTTCTCTCGATGAACATCGCTCGGTCGTTCAGCTTTAAAATCCTTTACGGATGTATTCATCATCGCTAAAATAAATTTCATTCATTGGTCTTCTTTATGAACACGTTTGAACGTGTCAATGAAATCTTTCACATTTATTTTCAAAACTCACAAACACTGGACTCGTAGAGTCGGCCAATGAAGAAACTATACTAAAAAAACAAAAGAGGAAAAAAAAAAGAAGGAAAAGTAATGACAAAGGATCCGTGCCAATCGTTGATTGTAAAAGAGTCGTTCGTTATCGTTGAGCAACGACTCGAGATAGAAGACAGCAAGCGTTCATGAACGAACGTAGAAACGTGAGATAACGGAATGCAAATTGGCGCAGGATGAGAACGAGGGTTTTAAAATTATGCGAGTAAGCGCTTTTCTTTCTGACGTGTGTGTATGCCCATTGCATCGTTGAGCGCGCAACACTCGCGGATTATGGTTATGTGAAAACCCTGAGAATCGGTTGAAAAGTTAACGCTACCAGCAAAAACTTTATAGGCTAGAATTCCGAGTTGATGGCATCATATCGATCCGTCTTTTGTCGTCGTTGGGTTAGCAACCTCGCTGGTACCAGGAAGTTATTTCATCGTTGCTTGTGCGTTCTAAACTATTGCAGCACGGAAAAGTACGGTTATTCCGCGCCAGAAGTAGTAATAAAGAAAACTTTCCTCGATTACGTTCGTTATTAGGAAAATTTCGTCCATCTTTCTTCAATCCTTATTGTTAAGTAAGAAAATTACTTTGTAAAAATATTTTCTTTCTCTTTTTTTTTCCTCGCAATTAAAGATGATTCTATCGAGCGAACGAATAGTTTTAAGGAGGTAAACAAAAAAGAAAAAAGTTCATGCATGTTTCAGTCTCAAAAATGCAAAAGAATGTTCTTAATCGCCTACGCTCGATCTAACTACAGCACTGCGTTCATGTTGTGACTCTCGTTTCCAAGCAACGGAACATTTCCTATAGAATACCGAAGGACGAATCTACAGTATTACCTAGAACGGGATCGATAAATTCACTGCTATTAATTAATGTATATTTAAATTATAATAGAATATTTGGAAACAAGCACTTCTTCGGGCCACTATAACGTTCTCGAGCATTAGCTAAGTACGACACACTTACAAAATAGCTCGTTAAAGGTTACGACTTTCAAATGCCAAGGCTCTTCTGCCTGTTGCTGGAAAAAAGAAACTCTCCCCCAGTTGACCGAAGAAAAAAAATGTCAACTTCTACAGCACTCTTTACGTACGTAGAATGTAAAAAAAAGACTGTTCTTTTCTCAGGTCCATTTTTTTGTCTTTTCTTCTTTCAGTGCAATGTCGTAAATCGTCGATACTCTACGTCTACGCTCGAACGATCCGTGAAGGAAAAAAAGTAAGGAAAAAAAAAGCACGGGCTGCGATACTGCGACGAGATCAATCAGAGGCTAGTTCCCGAAAAGATTTAAAGGTCATGCCGAGTAAAATTCCCTCCTCGGTGGTCTTTCATCTTGAAAGATAGAAGACTTTGGGATATTCGATGTCCAACAATGACAAAGAACGCAGCTGTTTCTTCTCGAGTCAGCTGACTTTGTGAAAAATAACGTTCGTGTACATTGTAATTGATTAGATTATACGGTTACATAATTAATGTTTATGCGCAGAAATAAAAAAAAAAAAGGAAAGAAAAAAAAACAAAACTCGAGGTAAATATTAACACGGCGAAGAAAAGAGCAACGAATGAATTTGTTCGCTTCGTCGAACACTTGTTCAATTAGGTCGAAGAAACGAACGCGATAGAAGTCTTGAGCGGTGTCGAAGCCGATGTATATTTCAAAGAGACTCGTCTGGAAGGGAGACGACGACGCCACGTCTGCGATGTACCAAACGACCCACGTCATTCCGACGTCTAATATCGGCGATAGAGGAGAAGAAGAAGAAGGAGAAGAGAAAATGGTCTTTCCATCAGTGAAAAAGCCTTTTCGCACGCAGCTGTTACTCGTTGTGAAAACGATTTTCCTCCGGATAGCTAGGATTTACACGCTCGTGCGTGTCTATTACGTGTCCAATAACGTTCCACGTCTATCACGCGAATGTACACCAACTATTGTATATATAGATACGTTATACAGAGAGTTACTTCTCTCGCGTGATACACACGCGTATCGCGTAACGAGAATTCGTCCATTGAAAAATTAGACTATTCCAGAAAAAGTAAACGCAAACAATAAATATTATATTGCGAACCGAGGACGTCCGTTGACGAGGAGGAAATCCGGATCAGATAAACTCGGTCGGTGTGTAAACTCGATACTCGATTCATCTCGAGAGAGGAGAAACCTAACTATATAATTTGTTTTCTTTAACAGGTACACAGGACGAGAGTTGATAAATAAAAAGGACGAGTTTCAAAAAGAACGAGTAGTCATTGACTCATCCTCTGTACCAATAATATAATTAAATACGCATGTACATATGTATATATATATATATATATATATATATATACACGCGCGCGCACGTAATTCTTACGCTAGATATATATATATATATATATATATATATACATACGCATTAAGTATAGAAAAATAATAGAGAAACGTTTCATAACCTAATATATTGAATATATCCATGTCTGGCGTCCTCCAATAGGAACCCTGGGTTCCGCATCTCGATATTCTCGAAGACCATGAGAAGTCAGAAACGCCACACGGACACGGGTCACTGATTCCACTCAATTCTCCCTTATAATAGATATACACTCGATAGCACAACACGCGATACTTTAACGTCCTTCGATCGCCGGTTACTAGTCACGTGTTGTCGTTGTCGTTGTCGTTGTCGTGTCGTTGTCGTTGTCGTTGTCGTTGTCGTTGTCGTCGTCGTTTCGACTTTACGACGAACATCTTAACGATCTCAAATCTTCTCCAAAAAATTGTCTCGACGAAACATATTGCGAAATAATCTAACTGTCGGTTTGGAAGAAACGCGATCTCGAAGAATACGACTATGCCCGAGGAATAGGAGGAGAAATAAGAAAACGAAACTACGAAACGCGTCAAGACTTGAAAGAAAGAGCGAGAAAAACAACGACACCGACGGTTCGACGAACGCGCGACTACTGACACGATGGCGCGCGTGCTACGGTAAGGCAGCTCGCTTACCCCCTCTACTCTCCGAACAATCGGCGCGGCAGCCGCCGCGCGCATGCGCACTTAATCTCGACCAAACTCTCCAAACATAGGACCTCCTAGTAGTTCCTTCGAAAGTCACTGTCTCGTGTTTTCGCTCGAAACACGTTCGTTTCAGCTAAGAAAACGCTTTTACTATCTTAGCAAAGAGATAAATTATAAATCCTCTAAAAAGGTCGACATCATAACGCATATTTCTCCGATTGGTTGGTCTTTACCTACAGCATTTACCGAGCCAAAAATACATTTTCTATCGCAGAAATTGATTTTTGTATCGTCCCTTGAAGTGTACTTAAAAATATCATTTATGCGAATATCCTTTCTATAAACGAAATGAAAATCAAACGCGTATCTACTCCAAGTGTCGTTTTTACGTAGAACGTACGTTATAGGAACATAGGTACATAGAGACGACGGCAAGAAAAGCAGAAACGTTTACATTATTCAGCAAACGAGAAAAGATTGTGGCGCAAGAAATCGAGAAACGGCGAACTACGAGACGGTAACGGAGACAAAGGGAGGCCTTGAAGATTTTCCGTCAAGCGTTTCACCCTCTCAAAGAGCCATCAACCTCGAAGAGATTTCAGATTATACATGTATATACCTAACAGAAGGCAACAACCAACTCGCTCGTCGCGCGTTTCACGTTCATACTTATTTAAAAGCTTCGTTCAAAGCGCAAAAGCGTGAAAATCACTCATCCTCTTCGTCGTCGTCGTCGTCGTCGTCATCATCGTCGTCATATTTCTACTTTCCAACTAGGTGCTCTAGCCACCAATTTTTTCGCTCTTACACGTCGTTGAAGCCAGACGGTCGTATACCAAAAATTGTTAACAGCTGCTGAACGGAGACAAAGGGTACCTCGTCTAGCCGTCAACTCGACCGTGATCTACTCTCTTTCTCTCTCTCTCTCTCTCTCTCTTACACCAGCGGTATCGTTTGCTTACACACCCTTCTTTTCCCGTCAACGAGCCAACGAGAAAAAGGGAAAGTCGAAAGCAAGTACTCGTACGTGGGTTAGCATCGATGTTCCTCTTCCAAGATTCTCTCGACTCGATAGCGATACTCGACGGATCTTTATACTCCTTGACCGTCAATTTTCCATCCTCATAATCTTTCATTTTTTCCTAATGCAATAATAACTTAAATCCGTACAAAGCGGCGCATAAAAATCCCTACGTGTACATAAACACATACGTAGAGAATAAAAACTGCGAGCAATAAAGAGCGCTAAAACGACAGCTAAGGAAGAACAAACAATTACATGGTTCCTCTCTTCGTCACCACCCTGGCACAAAGTACTCGACGAGCACGCGTCTCGTTTCATTCAAAAAACAATGCGTCTATTTCCAAAGCGAATTAAAACGACAATCGACACGCTCAACATTGTTTTGCGATCATAATCATGCGCCACACGATTTTACACCAGTTGGAACTTCATTTACGATCGTACCAAATGTCCAAATCAAAGACTATCGTCGATAAAACCAAACATTTGATAAGACCAAACATTTACGTATTTGTACAGTTCTAGAAGGATTCGTAGTTGACGAGAATGAACTGTACGTAAGTAAGCTATCTTAGTACAACACCCGGTTTATCTTATGTTCGGTAAAAAAAATGCTCTATTATCAGGGAGGGCGAGGTTCATGCTGAAAACGATAAATGATCGACATCGACGAGGATAGAAGATGTCTTTTAACAGTTTATCTTTTACAAGTATCTGCACGACGAGGTTCCTTTAATGGTTAAATATTATTCTAAAAATCGTACATACCTACATATATTTGATCGCGCGATCGATGAATGTCGTAAAAGTTAAATGATTGAATAACGATGATTGAACGAGCTGATTATATCGTCGAGCATGTATCGCGTAGCTACATCTTACGTTGATTTTTCATCGTTTGTCGAACAAAGCGAGTTAAACGAAAAAATAGATAAACGTGATAGATTTCACGCAGGGGCAAATAACGTTCCTACGCGTCTCGATGATTAAAATCTTCGAGTTGGCGAATCGTTCAACGTCCGTGACTCTATTCGAGCATGCCGATAGGCCGTCGATCACTTTGTCCTACGCCAATTAACATCGACGTGCACGAGCTTCTTCTTCTTCTTCTTCTTCTTCTTTCTCCTCCTCCTCCTCCTCCTCCATCTCCTCGGATGCTGTCCAACGAAGAAAAGTTTCAATCGGAGATAGGAAAATAAATTACGCTCGTTTCGTACGTTACCATTAAGCGCGGCTCATTGACAAGCTAGCGATAAACAGGAGTACGCTGAAGAATCTAGCGGCAGTAGCAACAGCAGCTGCTACTGCTACACGAGCCTCGAGGTTGACGACCTCTCTGAAGAGAGCCAGAACGAAAAAATCAATGAATACGTATACACGCACGTAGAGAAAGGCAGAGAGAGAGAGAGAGAGAGAGAGAGAGAGAGAGAGAGAGAGAGAGAGAGAGAGAGAGAGAGAGAGCGCTTTAAGCACACGAGAAGAGACGAAATCGTAATGAGAACGGCGCGACGCTAATTTCAGAATTTCCGAGTCACCCGATACTTCCTTTCAACTACTCGACGCTGCATTTGTTGCAACATTTAAAAAACTACTTCAAAGTCTGAACGAAATTTCTAATTAATTCTACAATCTTCTTCAACGTTTAACATTAAATCGAAGAATCGTACAATAAAGTTCTAATTCTTCGTCGAGAAACACACCAAGAGCAAGAATCCGTCATCGAGTTATAAAACAGGAATTACGGAATAAAAATATTTAGTAAAAATATCCGAGGCGATAGGATGAAAAAGAGGAGAAGGTAGAATATGCGAGATACCGATATCGAGATTCTCATCACACCGAGGCCCTTCTCGCGTCTTGCATATCAATGATGAAAAACGGAGAAGATTGGAGCCTCGATCTTTCATCCCTCTTCTCTCTCTCTCTCTCTCTCTCTCTCTCTCTCTCTCTCTCTCTCTCCCTCCCTCTCGCACAGGCGCGAGATGGGGAACACGTAAGCACCATCGCAAGATCAAATTCTTCGTACTCGTGAGAAAAGTTTCGAAAACTATTCCCTCACCCTAGCTCATTTCATGTTTCCATCCATTACTGAATATTCATATGCCTATTAAAACTTTTTGTTCACGGATAGAATCGATAATAGCACACATAATAGTAACAGAAGATCTTTCTGATCTCGTACATCGTCACAATTAATGATTATTAATTAAGCGCAAGAAATAAACGAGTGACCTCGTTGCTTGCCTTGAAAATAAATCCTTTCTTGATAAGTCGCGTTATCGATCGAACAATGTCGAGAAAATAGATACGAAACGAGAAATAAATAATGAAAGAAGTAAAAAATAATTAACGAACGATAAGGACTCTCTTTTCTTTTTTTTCTTTTCGTGATCAATTTTGGAAAGCATGAATTATTTATTTTGTGCTTTCCGGTCGAAAGGGTAGCTGCGGCGCCTCACGCAAACCAAAGACAGACGATCGTGATCGATTGCGTCCTCTACTCGCCTAATTACTTTCCTACCTGTACGTGCGCGTGTATATAACGTACGTAAATATCATATTTTCGAATTATTTCGTCTCTCGCGAAAACATAATCTATAAGTTCTTCTCTCTCGTTTTATCCTTTGTAATTTCAACTTATCTATCGTAGATAATAAGAAAGAACGACGACGAATCGCTCGTAAAAGATTCATGGAAATGTGTGTTTTTTTTTATTCTTTTCCATCCTCGTTTGACCTTGAAGGGACACAAATTATCCGAGGGGTTCGTGACCTTTCTACGAAGGAGAATCCCAGGGATTAAATATATCATCTCTTCCCTCTCATAGGATAGCGAGGAAGAAAAAATAAAAGGGGGATGATTTTATGGTACATATAGCGAACGCAATTGAACGCATTTTTGTCTTACAATTCTTTCCTCCTACTATTTCCTTCGATAGAATTTTCATGCGTTCTATACTTATACGAGTCCAATTTTCTTCTCCTTCTTCTTAAATTCACGTAGTATAGATTTTGTTCGGAATAACGATCCTTTCTCCTCTATCTCTGATGTCATCCCGATGACACAGAGATGCCTACTCAAAAATTATGAATAATAGTTAATAACGTACTCGACCGGACGAGGAAGATGGTTTTTCTTTCAAAAGTGCCGTGTACCCACTCGGTAGTTTATATTCTTTAGTAATTGTTCGGCGTTACTAATGAGCGCCTTCGAGACTAGTTATCGTTCGCGATTTTATACGCGGAGTCGTTACCGCACAAGCGGCGCATCGTTACCTCATCGCATGTAACGATGCGTTAATGCCATTTACGGGCGAGCAATTAAAGGTTCCACCACCGAAGAAAGCAAAGGAATCGTTCGAGCATCGCGTACGTATCCACTACTCTATTATACGAACTGCGCTTCTATCGTGTACGCGCACACGATAGAAACGCAGCGAGAGAGAGAGAGAGAGAGAGAGAGAGAGAGAGAGAGAGAGAGAGAAAGAGAGAGAGGCCTTTAAACAACTTTCTAACTCGTAACTTTTCCGTCCCGCCATGTCTGAGATCGGCGAAAGAGATATGTAATAAAAAGGCCTAACGTCGTCGCACGAGATAATCGATTCGATTCTAAAAAGTACTCGAGTGTATAAATAGAGAGGATTGGGTAACGTAAATTGTGAAATGTAAAGTTCGATCGACAAATTCGACGTTACAGGTTAACGAAATTTATTGGAAATCAAATGACATATACCGGTTTATCGATTGTTGGCAATGATCGATTCCGGAACTCGTTGACCGAGAGAATAATAGAAAGTAAAATGGCAACGTTTCCACTTGTTTTTGATCATCCGTTAAAGCAGTCAGAGGTTGTTTTATTCACAGTGCTAAGAGAGAAATGACAATAATATTGACGTTTTACCGAGGGTCCCACTGTCTCATCGGAGGAATGT